GCAATCTATTACTCTAACCAACTATCTTCTATTAACACCACTTGCTTTAGTGATGAATATGGGGAATACATTTTTGCTAATTTTATTGTAAAAAACCTTAAGACGCCTATAACAATCGGTGCCATTTACCGGATACCCCACACAAACATCCCAAATTTCAGTGAGAATCTAAAGGCACTAATAACAAACAGACAAATGAACAAGCACCACCTTCTCTTAGCTGGAGACTTCAATATCAACCTTGGCCTACCAGATGATCAGACTGTAACTGATTTCATCAACAATATGAACAACACACTTCTCATACCAACAATAACTAAACCAACCAGGCTGACTGAGACAAGTGCAACCATAATAGACCACATATGGATCAATATACTAGCCCCCCTTAAATCAGGAATAATCACAGACAGCACTACTGACCACTACCCAACCTTCCTTTTAATAAACATTAGTAAGCCACCACTCGAATACAACAAAGTTTCATTTAGACTCCATGACGAGGCCTCAATAAGGAATTTCACAGCAGACCTAGAGACTGTTGATTGGCCTACAGAATTCTCCAAGGCCAATGGTATTGACGATTGGACAGACATTTTTCTTAACAAATTACTTAGACTATACAACTTACATTGTCCTATAAAAACGTAACAGATCATGAATAAGCGGCTCGGTTGCCCATGGCTAACCAGCAACATTCTGAAATCCATTGATAAGAAACGCCAATATGAAAAGCAATATAGACAGGGCTTAATACACAAAAATATTCTTAAACACTATTCATCAGTTCTCACCAAAGTAATAAAGAAAGCCAAACAACTATACTACTCCAGTAGATTCACTGACACAAGAGGAGATATAAAAAAGACCTGGAAAACACTCTTTCAGATTCTGGGCACCCACAAACTGAAAAAAAAACAAGAATATTGTTCTAACTAAACCTAATGAAACACCACTACAACCCACTGATACAGCTAACAAGATAAACGACTTCTTCTCAAATATATGATCTAATCTCGCCAGTAAAATCTCATGTACCAACACCCGTGCCGGGGACTACCTAGATGGGAATTTCCCAAATTCCTTCTATCTTGTGCCAACTTAGCCCACGAAAGTCACCGAGATTATAAAGTCACTTAATAATAACTCAGGGAATCTGTCTCATGTCCCACCATTATTGTACAAGTGAGCGGCCCATGTCCTTTCGCATGCTATTTCATTACTATTCAACAAGTCACTAGAAACTAGCACCTTCCCAACACTACTTAGGACAGCAAGGGTTACACCAATACACAAAGGTGGTGGCCCTACAGATATAAACAACTATAGGCCAATATCAAACTTGCCATTGCTATCCAAAATCTTCGAGAAACTCGTGCATTGGAGACTATATTCATTTATAACGTCACAAAACATACTCAACCCCTGCCAATTTGGATTCAGGAAAAATAAAAGCACTAATGATGCAATTGTAAAAATGCTAAATCTGCTTTACACAGCATTAGAAAATAAGGAATATCCACTAGGAATTTTTATTGACCTAAGAAAAGCTTTTGACACAGTAGACCACGACATCCTACTCCACAAACTTGACCATTACGGTATAAGAGGTCATGCGCTTGCATATTCCAAATCCTACCTTACTATTAGGTATCAGTATGTCACCATTAAAGACACAGCATCATCAACACGGCCACTTGATACTGGAGTTCCGCAGGGAAGTGCCCTTGGTCCCCTGCTCTTCCTCATTTAAATCAATGATCTTCCAAACGTATCCCAACATCTAAAACCCATTCTCTTTGCTGAAGACACGACTTATGTCATCTCTCACCCTAATCTTGCCACCCTCAAAACCATTGTTAACGAGGAGCTACTCAAAATATCGACTTGGATGACAGTCAATAAACTTACACTTAACACTGACAAAACCTACTATATCATATTTGGCAGCAGAGCAGGTGTTGCGCAACTTAACATTAAGATCGACAACACTCTAATTGCCAGACATAATGAGGACAAATTCCTAGGCCTATACCTCGACAACAACCTGAATTTCAGCACCCATATCCAACACATAACAAAAAAAAGTATCCAAAACGGTTGGGATCCTCTCCAAGATATGATACTACGTGCCGCAAAATGCCCTTCTCACACTATACCATTCACTCATTTATCCATACCTCACCTATGCTAGTTGTGCTTGGGGATCAACTTCAGCAACACACCTAAAGCCAATAATAACCAAACAAAAAGTCGCAGTAAGAATAATCACTAAATCCCATCCCTGGCAACACAGCCCCCCACTCTTCATAGATCTAAACTTACTCCCTGTTCAGAACATCCACACTTACTACTGTGCAATCTACATCTACAGGACCTTAAATTCCAGTATTAACCTTGACCTAAAACGCTTTCTTGATAGTTGTGACAGAACCCACAGGCATAACACCAGACACAAACATCTCTATGACATTCCCCGTGACCAACTAAACCACCTGGTGGTTCACACTTACACTCGCTCACTCACCCATTTGACTATAAACACAGAAATACGAATCTTAATCTTAAAATAATGAATCCTAACTAGTCATAAGTTTGCCTGTGATACTCCAATTTAGAAACTATGTATTGTGCCAAAACAAAAGCATTCACATTGCTAAACTCACAAACTAGTATTTAGTCACTTAGCCATTATACCAACTTACCTCATAATTTGTAATATTTTAAAGTTAAGAATTAAACTAAGTCTGCCCGAAATGCCTAGCCATACTAGGTGTCCTAATGGCCCCCTCTGTAATTAGTATTTTAGTACATGTCAACCACACAATAAGCAAAATCTGTAGTAAACCCCGCATTGTAATCCTTATAGAGAATAAACTTGATTGATTGATTGATTGATAAGGATACGTAATGTCACTATGGTTGTTTAAAATATCTACAGATGAGGCTCTAAAATAAGTGAGTGCTAGGGTGTTGGGGAGAGGTTATGATTAAAATATATAGAATCTCATACAAAGTGAGAGTTGTCACAGTTGTTGTGTGCGTTTGGGAGATTAGTGGACGAATTTGGGGGGAGGTTATGTAAAAGAAAAAAAATTAAAATTGAATGTCGGAGAGAGCAATGTGATGAGGGCAACAAAAAAAAATAGGCAATGAAAGACTGGATATCATATTGAAAGGAAGAAGTATGGACGATCTGGATATGTTCAGATATCTGGAAGTGGACATGTCGGTAGATGAGTCAACGAAAGACAAGGTGAACCATAAAATTGATGAGGGTAAAAAAGGCGGGTAGTGCACTGAGGCATTTGTGGAGACAAAGAACATTATCCACGCAGCAAGGAGGCTGGAGGCAGTAAAGATGTGTCTGAGGGCAATGTGCGGTGTGTGGGGTTACTTAAAGGAGGGGTTGCTAAGGCGGTTTTGAACATTTAGAAAAGATGGAGCCAATCAGGATGGCGGGGTAGGAATCGCATAAGTTGGAGGGAGAGGGGTGTATGGGAGGTTTTGCATGCGAGGGTCTTTGACATCAAGCAGACTTGTGTGAGCTGTTAGATAGGAAAGCAGGCAAATGGTTTTTATGGCTTGAAGTGCTGTTGGAGTGTGAGTAAGGGATTAAGGGTAAACTGGTTAGCCGAACTTGGAGGTAGGAAGTACAGTGCCTGCACTCTGAAGGAAGGGTGAGGAAATTTGCAGTTTGGAAGGGCATCTGAACTATAGTATCGGTGCGCCTCTGAGTGATGGTAAAAGTATTTCTTTTTCGGGTTACCTTGCCTCGGTGGGAGATGACCAGTGTGTTTCATATATAATATATATAATATATATATATATATATATATATATATATATATATATATATATATATATATATATATATATATATATATATATATATATATATATATAAAATCTTTACTACAAAATGTTAAGTTTGTCATGCGTGTTTCATGTTCCCAGGTAATATACTTTTTATTGTCTTGGAGACACTGTATGTAGACTCTCGTACCAGTTCCTAGTTAGCTACGTTCACTGTGACTAAGACTTATGATTTAAAGTAATTAAATAAAGAAAGGAGAAGCTTTTTTCACATTACGTAATAGTTAGTTAATATGCAGTAGCTAAGAAAAGTATTGACTTGGTAACCATAATGTACTGCCTCCCCCACCCACCCTCCTCACCCCCTACCCCCCCCACCCTCACCCCCACCCTCACCCACCCTCACCCCCACCCTCACCCCACCATCACCCCACACCATCACCCCCACCCTCACCATCACCCCCACCCTCACCATCACCCCCACCCCTCACCCTCACCCCCCCCTCACCCCCACATCACCCCCACCCTCACCATCACCCCCACCCTCACCATCACCCCCACCCTCACCATCACCCCACCCTCACCCCACCATCACCCCCACCCTTAATACCTCCCCAACCACCCCCACGAAAATTTGAACGTAACTAACCCTAAATTATGGTTGTTGATAAATTTATGATTTCAGATAAATTATCATTGATGATTAATAGATCAAGAGGATGAGAATAAAAACTAATCATAGAGGTGTGGCGATAGGTAAGTTATATTTAGCGCTTTTTGCGACTATATATATAATATACACATATATAATAATAATAATAATAATAATTATTATTATTTATTATAATAATTAAAAAATAAGATATAATAATAATAATAATAATAATATAATAATAATAATAATAATTATTATTCTTTAAAATAATAATAATAATAATAATAATAATATTATTATTCTTTAAAATAATAATAATAATAAAAATAAGTAATAATAATAATAATAATAATAATAATAATAATAATTTATTCTTTAAAAATAATAATAATAATAATAATTATTCTTTAAAATAATAATAATAATAATAATAATTATTCTTTAAAATAATAATAATAATAAAAATAAGGTAATAATAATAATAATAATAATAATAATAATAATAATAATAATAATAATAATTACCCACCGGTATTGTTTGGGCACCCTGGTCCAGGCTCCACATATCCTGTTGTTGGTAGCCTCGTAAGGTGTGGGCTGAGCCTCCAGCTGTTCCAGTATGTCCCCAGTGCCACTCATGAACTGGATGGAGGCAGGTGGAGGGGCTCCACTCTCCAGCAGGAAGGAGAAGTGCAGGGTCTTCTTGCGTAGAAAGAGTCTTCCAGTAGCCACTCTGGAGGTGGTCATGGGGGCCCGTGAAGTGCGTCCGTTTAACAACACTGCAAAGTCTGCAAGAGAGAAGGTGGAGGCGTCAGGAACTAAGTGAAGGAGTGCATATATACCAGGGTTATAACTTTTTTTACAGCGTAATATTCCCGTATCTTAATCAGATGAACTTTTTCCTAAAAGCAAAGAAATGACCTATCATTTCAATATCTTTTTAGAAAATGTCGCTTTACTTGTTGATACTTTTGTGGATGTCACCAAATTGGTTGCAATTTCTGGTTGTGGTAGTACTTTCACTGTCATGTGGGGGTTCGTGTGCTGGAATTGGGTAAAATCACAAACTTCGAATGGATGGTAACTTAGTATTATGGATACTTAGGGAGACGCCGCCATGCCTGACCTGCCGTCTATGTATCAGGCAGTTTCCGTCTTTTTTAAGGATGAATAGTTTTTTCAACTTGACCTGTAGAGAACACCACTTTGCTGTCCACTTGAAGCTGGTACAGCGGTTTGTCTTCAGAGGATAACCATTGGCCATTTACTTTTGTGATATCAAAAAGTTTATAAACCTTTTTATATATATACCAGGATTTGGATTGTTCTGCAAACTTTTATACCGTTTCAGAAATTTCTTAACAGTTCTAGAAACTGGAAAAGTTTACAGTGACATGAATGTCAAATATTGGCAATAAAACCCACACTGTTTTTTTGTCAATATACAAATACCATGAAAAAATGATAATAATAGCAGATGCCAGTATATAGAGTTTACAGTTAGTAATTTTCTGAGTTGTTACTAATGATTAGTAACACAGATATATGGTGATTCCTTTGGTTTTTATTTAGGTGACCTTTTTTGAAAACACGGGAAAATGGGATTCATGTTTTTATAACAAGTTATCGATTTATGAACACAGGAGATGTTTTATTTTCGATAAATAAAAAATATATAACAATTATATGAACAACCAAAGTTTACAAGAAAATAGTAAAATATTAAACCCAATAATAGATAAATGAGACATTCCAATCAACAATGGGTAGTCATTATTATGGAAACCCAACATAGCTTATAGCATAGCAAATGGTCAATGGAAAGTTGAGAGAGTCTTGAAGGTGAGATGAGAATTGAGGTAATCAGTCCCTCAGCCTGGAGTAAGTGATGGACTGAACACGTCGACTCCAGACTGAGGGACTGATTACCTCAAACTCCTCATCTTCCACCTTTCTATGGACTGAAGAAGCTACTGGCTGGCGAAACGTTTCCAGAATAAAGATACCCAGATATTGCACGTCTCTCATTTATCGTCTTGTCGGTTTTCTGAAAAATTTATTCACAATAATAAAATAGTAATAGCCAGTAGAGGCCAGAGGAACACTTCGAAGTATCTGTAAAATAAGAAATGACTAATATTCTTTTCTAATGACCGGCGAAATCGTAATGACACGATTGCAGACAAGCCACAGAACGGGTGGGGCTTGAACTCTTCCAGTTAGTTGGATGAATCTTATTGTAGCCAGCTGGTCCAGTGGCTTACACGCTACTTGGACTTTTACGACTCACTTGCCGCGAGTTCAATCCCCACTTATACATTGGTTTCCTTTCTAATGATTTAACAATGCTCAGTGAGGTCTGGCAAAGAACCATTGTGACCTCTGTAATCCTGTTTCATTTTATTTTTATTTATTTTTGCGTTACCGCTCACAAGATGAGCTGCGGGTGCACAGTAACCCAGCAGCTCGGGGAAAATAGTTTCCCCTATTCTAGACAAAGCTAGACGATGGGGAAACAAGGGGTTGTGGGGTGAAGGGACTACACTCCCGTTTATTCCCACAAGTGGTCTTTGTGGCAGCGGTACTGTCTAACTTCCTTAAAACCTTTGGGCTGTAAATTATTTAAAAATTGTAATTTACTAATGTTTATCACTTAACCAGGAATGTAAATGTAAAAGCGTAAAAACAACTGTTGTCCCCCCATTCTCCCCAAATATGGCCTTCTTTTTGGAACCTCAGTCGCACACTTAAAACCCCCAGTAGTTGGACTGGCCCGCCCGTTGAATAAAGTGCGAGATAATAAACGGCACAAAATTAATACGGGCTTTCAACTCACAAGGTAATCGTGGTATTTAACCAGATAGGGAAATTAATCTTTAAATCCTTCTCACAGAAAATGAAAAATGGTGAACCCTTACTTTGCAAGTAGTAAAAGGTAAATTTGGGTTTACAGCACGTTAAATGGTTTTCCCCAGTAAGATCTAGGAAAGTAAAACCTCATTCAGCAGTGCTAGCAAGCGGCAATTATTGTAAACTTTCAGGTTTTTGCTAAAATTTGTCCGAGGGTAAGTAGGGGTTTGGGGTTTTTAAGCGAGGGTGTCAGTCAGGGGGTCCGGTGTAAAGCGGGGGTGTCAAGTCATGGGTGGGTGTAAAGCGGGGGGGGTGTAAAGTCATGGGCCCGGGTGTAAAGCGGGGGTGTAAGTCATGGGCCCGGTGTAAAGCGAGGGTGTCAAGTCTGGGGCCCGGGTGAAAAAGGGGTGTCAAGTCATGGGTCCGGTGTAAAGCGAGGGTGTCAAGTCATGGGTCCGGTGTAAAGCGAGGGTGTCAAGTCATGGGTCCGGTGTAAAGCGAGGGTGTCAAGTCATGGGTCCGGTGTAAAGCGAGGGTGTCAAGTCATGGGTCCGGTGTAAAGCGGGGTGTCAAGTCTGGGTCGGTGAAAAAGCGGGGGTGTCAAGTCATGGGTCCGGTGTAAAGCGGGGTGCAAGTCATGGGTCCGGTGTAAAAGGGGTGTCAAATCATGGGCCAATCCCTAGCAGTTAGGTTTACTAACAAAAGTAGGAGTCAAGAAATAAGACATAGGAGCTAAGATTACTGGCAAGTGCAGGTTATAGATATTTTTTGTATAACGAAATGTTCTAAATGCAGATACGGGTTTAAAATATTCACATTGTGGGGTCAAAGGGAGGGGGGTGGAGTGGGATGTATGTCAGAGATAATTTAAATTGTGTTTAGATGAAAAGTTAAAAAAACATCGGCACAAAATCTGTTTGGTACGTTTCTCGGAGTCGTGAAAATTTAATTTTGGGTGTGATTTTTAACCCCCAAAACCTTGATAGGGGGGCAGAAAGCTCTAGGGGACGAAAATTCAAAAGGGCTTTCTAGATATGAAAATGTTATTTTAATGGGAGTTTTTTAATTTAGACAAATTGATTGGAAACAATAGACAGGAAATCTTGAGTCTAGGACTTTCTTGTACGGTTGGATTGCTTTTTAGAACAGGTTGTGACAAAACCCAAACTAAGGAAACAATTGCTTGCTTGGTTCTTGCCAAAAAAGAATCACTAATTAAAAAATTTAAGGTTAATGATGATTTGGGGAAAGTGATAAAATCATTTTGTTTAATTTTTTGGAATTTTTCCGATAATTGAAATCAAAATCTCTGTCCAGATTTTCGCTTGGGCTTCAGGGGACGAAAAATTACTGGGTGGGAAAATTGGGATAAAATGACTATGGGTCAGGTAGGTGCGTTGGTTCCCAATATGACGTTTTTCAGAGCTAGTATAATGCTCGGGCAACTTTTTTTCCCGGGGGGGGGAAATTAGATTAACAAAAATTTCCAATGGATAAACATAGTTAAAGATCTCATTGGTCAAAAGAGAGGTAATGGTTTTAAAAAAGGGGGTGGGAAATTAAAAAATCAATATATTCAATTAAAGAGAGGAAAAAAAAAAAAAAGGAAAAAAGAAAAAAACAAAAAGGGGGTTTTGAGGTAAAGTCCAAGGGGTTCAAAGACAACCCCAAAAGGGTTCTTTAGGTATACAGAAGTAGTTAGGGCAAGATGGCCCCCTTAAGAGTAAAATTGGTAGATCATGCGTGTTAAAGGTATGTGTGAAATTTTCAAACTTACTTCACTCGTATTACCCGGGGAAAAATGCGAAATTCCTGAAAAAAAAGATTAGTAAAAAGGCGTAATAAACTAGTACGATTGCGGTAATAGTGACATGGTCCTCAGACAAAAAAGAGAAAAAAAACCCAACAAAACCCCGGTCCTGATGAACGTTGCAAGGGTGTTAAAGAATGTAAAAAAGGAATTGTACTTTGGCTAATCTTTTAAATTTCATACAAAAGGCATAGGCCCCGATAAGTGCAAAAAGGCAAAAGTAAACCCATTTACAAAGGCAGGGCAGGTCCCTGCTTCGAATATGACAATAAGCCTTACCCCTAGTGGGAAAATATTGGAATCAATAATTGCCCAAAGCAATTTGTAGCATCTTTATGGGACAGATTGATTAATGAATCTCAACCCGGTTTTAAAAAAGGGGTTCCTGTTTTGAAATTTTTAAAATTTTTTCATGGTGTTTTTAGGGGGGTAGATCTGGGAGAATATGAATTTTGAAAATGTATTCAGTAAGGCTTTTGATAGAGTTCCACATCAAAGGCTATGAGGAAATTAGGCAACGGAAAAGGAGAATTTTTTTCCCGGGGAGAGGGTTGGCTGACAAAAAAAGGCGAGAGAGTTTTTTAAAAAAGGGGAGAAAAACAGAATTGGGGGGACGCACAAGCGGTGTTCCCCAGGGTCGTTTGGGTCCCTTGTTGTTCACATTTTCATCAACGACATAGATGAGGGAATAAAAAGCGAAAAAAGCAATTTTGATGATACCAAAATAGGCCGGCCAATTTATTTAATGGGACACTAGAAAAACCAGGGTGATTTGAATGATGATGCAAGGTCGGAGAAATGGGGATGCAAAGTTTAAAAAGTTGGACAGGAAAATAACCCTGCACATATAAAAAAAAAAATGTGATCTTAAAACTATGATTGCGAAAAAAGGGTTTAGGAGCTTGGGTTAGCAAAATCTAAAACCAATAAAATAACGAACCCCTTTTCAAAGGGGGCCCGTTTTATTAATTTTTAAATTTTTTTTCTAAGGTTTAGGATGATCATGGTTATGAATATGATATTCTGAATATGTACTTCAGTAAGGCTTTCGATAGAGTTCCACATCAAAGGCTATTGAGGAAACTTAAGGCACACGGAAAAGGAGAATTTTTTTCCTGGGTAGAG